TTGTGTTACCTATATGAATAAATGATTTTTAACTTTTATACTTGTATATGAAAAGATAAGAAAACAACTGAATCAATTGCTAGACCTGAGTTTTTTTGGACATTTCACATGTAATTTATGTTCTGTTTAAACGTCCAGTCTGGAGGTCACCCGACGGCCGAGGCCCGAGGCTGTTAAGGTTCTTACAGGTCTAACAACCAAAAAAGTTAGGGGTGAGTACAGGAAAGTTTGTGGTGACGAAAACACGATGTTCAGGAATAACGAGCGTGAGTGAAGAGAATTTGAAAAGTTGATCGGCTTTTAAAGCCCTCATAAAAGAGTTAAATGATATAAAATGTTAAACCGTAATACCGTCTTTACGACAGAGGCTAAAATTAAAGATGCTAGAAATTTATTTATGCCTCTTTCATTTCATTTTCAATAGCAATCTTTTAACTAATAACAAATAAAGAATAGTTTTGAGATTAGAACTTATAGTAAAGATTTGATACGAATAATGAAATGGTATATTAAGAGAACACAGGAGTTGTTCGGATTAATACCTGCAACTGAATTTCATCATCGAACGTGGAGACAGAATATGAAATTCCACCAGTATCACGTCCGTCGTTCCACAACTAAGGGTTTTTTAAGGTAGTTTTTCCCGCGCACCACCTCATCCACTATTTGGAAACCAGCTGCCCACGGATGTCTTCAATGTATCCGAACTAATATAACTTAGGGTCCTTCAAGAAAAGAGCGTACTAATGCTTACAAGGCCGGCAACGCACTGGCGAGCCCTCTGGCAATGTGAGTGTCAATGGGCCTCCTGGCCGTTTGTTACATAAAAAAAATACAGTTAACATGTTTAAACTTTTATTCAATCACTAATTAAATTTTACTTAACTACCCATTACAATATAATCTGTGAGTATTGTTCAAGTGTGAAATGATAATAAATTATTTTTCTTTAAATGAAATGAATGATAAAAAATCTGCAGTCGCCACCTCGATATATCTTATAAAGTAATTTTAAACTCATACATTAAAAAAACACTAAAAATGAAGTGGGTTTTACGCACTAATTAATAAATCTCTAGATATAAAAAATTCTCGTGTCACAATGTTCGTTCACATACTCCTCCGAAACGGCTTGACCGATTCTTATGAAATTTTTATGCACATTCAGTAAGTATGAGAATTGGTTACTATTTATATTTCAAACCTCTAAGTAATAACCCCAAAATATATGTTTTTTTATGATACAGCATACAAGAATACTTCATACAACCCCTAATTTTCATTATTGTAGATAGTTTTATTGAACGAAAACAATGTTCCTTTGAAATAATATACATGGCAAAACAACGTTTGTCGGGTCAGCTAGTATGATATAAAAATTGCTAGATCGATAAAAGAATATCTAAGGAAACCAAAAACAAAAAACAGTGTTTTCTTTAATAATTTCTAGGTAAACTTTCGTCTTACTAATTTGAACTTTTATGTATACGCGCTATTTGTGATAGTAGGTGGCGACTTTGTTAAATACCTAATCTAATTTCCTGTAATAAATTCCGTATGGAGCATCCTTGTGAACTTCTTCCGGTTTTGGTTTCGGCACATAGGGGTTCTTGAGCGGATCAGCATTTAATCTGAAAAACAAATAAGCTTTAAACATGATGGCAAGCGCTAGGTCAACATTGGTGTCGGGTATAATTCCTGCGAAACAGTATTTCAGTAAGGCACAGAAATATATATAATAAAGTAGCAGACCGGCCAAGCGTTGCTGTGGCTAAGGTTTCTATTATATTGCATACGTAGTAGTAAACTATTCAAGGGAAACGGTAGGAGAACACCAGTCATGGCGACCACATGCTTTTTTGGTGATTATGCCATTAAATTGTAGCTTATGTGAAACGTTGGTACTTTCAACACAGCGCCATCTGTTTGCTGTGACTATCAAATAATAAACAAATATTTTGCAATAAAAAAATATTGCGGGTATAAATTGAGATGTAAGCGCTACACACGGTGTGCAAATTTGCTTGAAATCGGTTCCGTAGTTTAGGAGTCCATAGCGGACAAACAACGTGACGCGTTATTTATATATATTAAGATGAATGTATATAAGGCCCACATGACACAAATTTACATAGAATTGAGTCGTTTTAATACTTGACGCTATATTCACAAATGATTTAACATATCACTTTGCATATTTTAGAAATTATTTATTTTAATTACAAGTGCCTTATAAACAAATAAACATCACCAAAATTTTGTACCAATTTTACGGGTCAATTTGTATTTACATTATTATTTTGTACTATAAACGACATAATATAAACAAGTCCAATCTTATATTATTAATCGAATTTTATATTGTAGTTCAAATTTGATCTTCAAAGTAAATGTATACCTATAGTGGTCAATCGCCTGCGAACAATCAACGTTATACCACCAGTCACAAGCGAACTTAGCTTGGTCAAAGAGAGTCCCATTAGTGCACAGGAAGGAAGCTCCCTGGTGACCTTCCCTGCCATCATGGCAAACGTGGTACGCCTGAAAGAAACCATATTAAATAATTAAACAACCTTTATTAACAGCTTTGTAACGTTTATATGGAAATCGATTTTATTATTTCTTATTTGTTTTATTTCAAGAACAGTAAAATGAGAATACTTAAATAATTTGAAAGGCAACTTCCAACGCGACCTCTTCCAACCATTGAGAGTCAAAATAAAAAATGGTGAGCGCAAGTGCAAATATATAATATACAATAACTAAAAGACAAAGAAGAAATCAAGTGTTTCCTTATATATTTTTTACAATGTACTCGTAATATAAAATAAAAATAAAATTTAGTATGTATTCAAAATGTATACAGCTATAGGTACAGTATGTGATGAAAGATTTTTGCTTTTGTAAATTAACTTAGATAGAAGAGTGGAAGAGAGGCCGAGAGAGGATGACCATTTTCTCGCTACGCCGCCAATTTTCAAGCCATTTTGGAGCCAACAGGCATCGCAAGACGCAAGAGACTATGGGACGGGCTTTGGTATGGGATGTTGCTTGTGTGGATACGTTTGCCCCGTCTCACCTCCCTCGGACAAACAATAAAGCTGGGGCGGCTGCAGAGCAGACGGAAAATAATAATCGGCTCATACGTAAGAGTCTTTTCTTCAACTTCGATTTTGTTCACTTTGGAGTAGAGACTCTTGGGCCGTGGGTTTCAAGTGCAGATTAAAATTTAAGTTGACGCCTGGTATCGGTGACCCTAGAGCTGGTGCTTTCCTCGCTCAACAAATAAGTATCGCAATACAGCTAGGAAATGCTGCCAGATTTAAAGGGACCAAACTTTTTAAATTTGTTTTAATTACCTTTTTATTAATTTTTAATTATTATTACTATGTAGGTTAAGAAAATTATAAATACTGTATTGATTTGATTGTTATGATTACTAATAAACATATTGCTTACTTAGTAATTAAAGTAAATTACATTAAAACTATAATATTGTTTCCTTAATCAAGAAGGCCGATCACCAAAATTGATGTTCGGATAATTGATAACGAAGAGATTGAGTCGACGAGCAAATATCATGAGAAAATTGAACTTTTCCGCTTCGAACTCCCGTAATCAAACAGTTACTCAGTGTTTCGATATTGCAATCATAAATTTTCCATTTAAATAAAATTCATGTATATTTTTCAGCTTAATAGAATTTTATTGAATGGACTTCAAAAGAAAACTTAAATTCAAATACTCAACAATTCAATTTGAAATTTGTAATTATAATTTCAATAACTTCACCAATCAAACGATGAGGTTTATTTGACGGAAAGCGGGAAATAGTTGGATGTTTTATTTATGATATTGGCTTTCAAAAATAAATTTTGTGCATAAGTGTATCATTATTCGCTTATTAGCGAAAAACGTTTAGGGATTGAATAGCAAATGCATTACATTGTTTTCATAACACGACGTTTCGAGTGCTTTTCACAACTCAGTCAGAGAAGGAATTCCTACTAATTATGAGCAGATTTCCCGAAATTCCCAGAAGTTTTTGGGTAACAAAATATCGCAAAAATAGACAGAAATTTAAAGATTTGGTGGAAGTATATAGAAAAGTCCACTAATGCACAGTCGTTGGTCAAAGGATCGTTTAGGAACTACACGCTTAGCCGCTTTCTATGTTAAATAGGTTGTAATTTAATTACAGACATTTATGTGTGCCTTAAGCATTTTGGTATAGCTCTCTACATCAAAGGCCGTTGTTTCCAAATTCTCTCTAATTACGAAGCTTTTCACAAATTGGACAACCCCTTCAGATTCGTTTGTGATTTTTTAAATATAATTCAGTCGTAATTGTACAAAGGCAAGGCTCTATAATTACAGCTGTGGTCGTATCTTTTGCTTCATTTACGGTCTAAAATTGACACAATTTTGGAATTGAATTATCTATACTACATTCTTAAAATAAAGCGTGAAGCTCCAAGGCTATTTGACTCAGATTACTGACTTTTATTAATCATTTACAGGCAAAATTTCTTCTGTGTTTGATACACGTACTCGTACACGTTTTAATTGCGCATATCGAAATCCATTCGTCCATAAAAATAACATTATTAAAACTATATTTTTGGTGGTTTATTGGGTATATTGATTTGCTATTTTAAAAGAGTACCGAGAGTTTTTTACACCGGCTTTTTCTCTCGGCCTATACCGTCTGTCTTCTTTGCCGATGTGGAGGGATGTCTACCTATTCAAATTTAATGACGTGCAATAAGTGATAGCTGTATCGTATATTTCATAATAAACATATATTTTGTCTATACTTTCCTACCTACCGGAGGCCCGTGAACTTGGTAAGGTATAATGTTAGTATAATAATTGTTATTTTAGTAATTCGAAATACTACCATAGGATTGAGAAACACCAACTTAAGCACTAGTTTTAATCCGCTCCACTTGAAAAGCTACTTAGTGGATACGGATACTAATCGCAATGTCCAACAAATATTAATTAAAAACCGTTACCTGACATCCGGTCTCTACATTAGCGTACATTCCAGGGTGAACAGGTACATGGGCGCAGGAGAAGCTGGTCTCCGGGACCTGGTGGTAAATTGGATAGTCCACGCCAGGAACGCCTGGTACATTACGGAGGTCTTGAGGCTTCTCGTGCTCCCTGAGAGGTTTCTTGTACACCTGTTGGTATACTGGGTAGTCTTCGTATTGCTGTAAAAAATGAGAATATAATGAATTTAAACAGAGAAGGGCAGAAAATAAAATATAAATATAAATATAAATATGTTTATTCATTATAAGTACATATGGATTACAGTGTGTAAGATTTGGGAACCCATTTAAGTAAAAAAAAATACCTGTCAGGATTCCCAGCTCTTCCATAACAAACTTAATTATAAATTCCTTAACATATATTCATAAATAATTTAATTACATTTTCTTTTTATTTTCAACTGTTCTCAACACGCCTGAGTGCATGAGTGAGTGTGAGGGTGTATGTAGGGAATGAGTAAGTGTGTGGGTGCAAATGTGTGAATGAGTGAGTGAGTCAGTGAGGGAATGAATAAAGTGTGTAACTACATATTAGGTCTCAGAAACATTCGAATGTTTCTATATTAAATTTTGCTAACCATTACTCGTAAGTAATGTCGTAATATACAGAAGGCGAATTCAAAGCATTATATTGTGCCAAGCTAAGTAGCTTATCGATGGACCTAAGCCAGCTTTTAATCTAGAATTTGCATGAAGACCCATAACTCCCCAATGGGACATGAGACACTTCGTATTATTTATTGTTCCTTCTATAGACTAGCAGACACTTAAAATTGTGGCCTGACAGATGTTTGATTTTAAGAATTTACACATGTACACGTTTTTCTTATGCGCAAATATTATATCACGCAAATATAAATAATAATATTAACTTTAATTATTATAGCACAAGATGAATATTAAGCTTATAAATACAAAAAAATCGAACAATATAAACCAACCTTAAAATATAATAACTAAAATATATTATTATCAGGTTCCGAAGATACCGGCAGCGTTCCCCCTTTGAATAGCTAGACTAATTCTTTGTCCGAGGTAGCTGTCAGCTCTTTGGTCTCCTGTGATGTCGACTAAACTTTTTGATATTTTATTAAAAAGCCTTAGGACCCCACGGATCAAGGGTCTCGACAACGAATGGGAAAAAATCATATTTTTATAATAATTAAAGTTAATACTGATGATGGCTTTGTTGAATAATTATATTTTAATTTTAATTTAATTATGCCGAAAGCTTCCTGAAGCTCCCTGCTCCCGCAAGTTTAGAATAGTATTCTTAGCTATTTGAAAATAAGAGATACACTATTGATAATTGTATAATAAAGTATGTCATAATAGTTAAAGTAGAACCAATTATAATTGGTTATCCGTAACAATCTACCAACGGTGTATAGTAAATTCGACCCAATTACAAAGCAATAAATCACCTAATCCATTGTGTTACGTGTAGTGAAATGTCACGATTACGTCAGCGCATTGACCCAACTCAAGTGAAAGGTTTGTTAAAAAGTTATATCATATAAGCGGCCTTGACTGAGATCTTTATTGAGTGAATTACGGTAATATTCGAAGTCGAAACTTAGAACTAAGTGTGACATATTTTTGTCACATGGGATTTAATTCTTATTACAATAAAGTTTTGGGAACTTATCGCATCCGACATATAATTCTCCAGAGTTGGCCCCCACCGACTTTTTCCTGTTGTGAGACCTCAAAAGAAAGCTCGCTGGATAGAAATTTTTCGTTGATGAGATAATTACCGAAACTGAAGGCTATTTTGAAGCTAACGATAAATCGTACTATAAAAATGGTATCGAAAAATTGTATGACCGCTGTTGTCGAAAAAATTTTGTATCGCTCTCGAAGGTGACATTAAATTACTAAATCAAATTTTAACAAAAAAACCCACCTAATAGATAGATATATGAGAACTCGTCACTGAGACTGAACGTCATACCTACCCATTAAAACAATTTTAGTTGAACCAAATAAATGAAAATGCACATATTAATTTTTAAAAATATGCATCTTTTACTTGACTTTGTCAATAACAATTTAAACCTTCTTTAAAAATATACAATGGTTTAACTAATCCAAATTGGATTAAGGTTAACTTTAATGTAATTTATTATAACCGCAACCACATGTTTGTGTAACCCAATTAACCACCTGTTTATTACCGAATGGCAAAATTTTATAATTATTGGTATCAATTACGTAATGAAGAATTTGGTCATACAATATGTTACATGTTTCAACGTTTTGAAAGAAATTGGCAGATTTGGGAAATGTTTGATGATAATATTCATCATATTATTTAGACTCAAATATAGTACACACTTTTTAGTTTATTTTAATTCTCATAAAAAGCTAAATACAAATATGATTAATTACAAATAAAAATATTATGATTAAATATTGTGCTTGTGGGAAACCGAGAAAATATTTAGTTATCAGGTGTTTTTTAAAAAGATTGGTATAAAACTATTGTAGCTCTAAGTGATGTTGGAAATTGCCATCGCAAATCAATTTAAATGTTGTTCAATAAAATAGTGGTTCGTTATTTTGTCAAAATCATGTTCACGTAACACATACGAACTATAATTGTAATTGCTTTGAAATTCGATATGAACATGTCCCTTTAGTCCTAGATTACAAAAAAGGACCACTCAAGTGAGAGGCAGTCAGGGACGACTAGAGCTTGCGCAGTTCGGCCAAGCGTAATTTCTTCACCTAGGAAAATTATACTTAGTTACTGTTATTAGATAAATTTGTTTGTGAAATAATAACTTAAATTGCGAATTACTTGATGAACTTCTTGGAATAAGTACTAACTTTTACTTACGAAAATTCGAACAGCTTGTAAAGCCGAAAGCGTGGACTAAATTTATAATAACGCTGATTAAACAAAAAGCAAACTATCTTTAGAATGACACACCACATATCTGTTACATTAAAATAATAAATACTATACATTTTTAAGATTATACCATCGCGTTTTACACATGCACAACGCCACTTATTTCTTAAAAAACAAATTAGACAATTATTCATTGGGTAAATGCAATGGTAACCATTTTTACTATGATGTTTTTACGTTGTATAATATAGCCAATAAAATACAATACTAATATAGCCTGTTAAGTTTTAACCTTAACTGAATTATTTTAATCAGTTTTTTATTCTACTAGGTACAAGAGCTGGAAATGACTTTGATTGCTTCGAAAGTCTGGTCTCAATTTTTTTGTATGTTTATATCTGTTGAAAACCAACAAATGTATCAAAGTATTATCTACCATCTACCAAAAGTTAACTCTTTAGAACCCTTTTAATAATAACTCTTAAAATCCAAAACAAATTTCCACATTACAAAGCGGTGTTATCTAGACAATTCCAACAAATTATGGTACGAAACAGACTCATAAACTTAGTGCAGACTCATACAAAGAGCAAACACCAAGTTTTAACTTAAGAATTTTATTACTTTCTCAGCCACCTCCTTTTGTTTTGAGCAAATATGTTATTTCTTAAAAATATTGTTTTGTTTTCTGAAACTTTATACTTTTGGCAATGAGTGGGATTTGTTACTGAAGTCTGGGTAGTTTGCTCTTAGCTTTATTTTGGACAAGGATAAGTAATTTCTCCATTGGACATAACATAACTAATATATAACTTAATTTTTATTAAAAAAAACTAGCTGACCCGGCAAACTTTGTTTTGCCATGTATATTATTTCTAGGAAACATTAATTGTTTAGTTCAATAAAAATAACTATCTACAATAATAAAAAGGGGTTGATCGTAGAGGGGTGGAAATGAGGGGTTGTATGTATTTATGCTGTATCATAAAAAAATAAAAACAAAAAAGTTTCTAAAAAACAAAAAAAAATTTTTGCGGGTGTTTAACCCCTTATTACTTAGGGGTTTGAAATATAGATAGTAGCCCATTCTCAGACTTACTGAATATGTATAAAAAATTCAGAAGAATCGGTCGAGCCGTTTCGGTATGAGTATTGGAACGAACATTGTGACACAAGAATTTTATATATATTGTGTTAATTTCGAATGAACTACATTTTGAGGAATGGAAAAAAGCCGTCAACCCACAAGCAACTAATGTTTAAGTAACCCGCTATAGATCAGTAAATCTCATCACCAATTTCCAATAAACTTTTCAGTATTTTCGTGAAATATAAAATTTGTTGACGTTAGCTAAACGACAACCCTTTTGTGATAAAAGCCTTTTATCTGCCAAAAAGGCTCTCTAAATATAAAGTAAATTATGTAAATATCAACATGTTTTTCGACGCTGTAAGGAAAATTAACATTTCATCGAATAAAATATTAACTATTTAGTAAATAATTTCAATTAGAAAACTTAATATGAGGTTCAGCAACAAACTTTAGCTGCATTAGTTTGCATATTGACGCCTCGTTTTCTTTTGTTTTTAATTTAATTATTGATGAATCTTTACTTCCTAGCGACTACCCCAAGTAGCATTTCTGTGTACGTCTCACATGATACTGTGTTTAAACAAGTAGGTCATGCTTATGTGGCATACTTGTCGCTATTAAGGTCTAAGCCATCCCTGTTCCGATACAATATGCCTTCTATTAAGTGCTTCCCTTCCCACTGACAACGGAAGTCTCGCGAGAGCATTGCTGGCCTTGTAAGAATGCCAGCAACATATTAAGCGAAATATTAAGCGCGAACATAAAAACACCATTGGTGCCCAGGCTTCAACCGCACGACATCAGGGACCAGCCACATTTTACTGCCTCAATCCTTCTACTAGAGACAGAACATTATCTAATGATATATTATTATATTTGAGTATAATAAATAAAATAAATAAATCGGTGCCGCTACAACCTTTTTAGGTCTGGGCCAATCTAAAAGGCAAGTGGGTGATCACACCGTCGAATTTTTGGGTCTAAGGCAAGCCGATTTCCTCCCGATACTTTCCTTAACCGATCGAGAGTATGTTAAATGCGCACACAGAAACAAATTCGATTGGTGCACAGCCGGGAATTGAACATACGACCTCAGGAATTATAATAGGCCAAAACTGCTCTCATTTAGGCATAATATGACATTGATATAATATATACTGTATAAAGTGAATCCTTCGAAATCTTCAAACATCCAAATATTTGAATGAG